CGTTGCTATCAGAAACAATGCCCGACTGTTTTGGACGTAATATGGTCGGTGCATGTTTAAATTAGCATCGCTAACACTCAGAGCTAACCTGTACTGGAGAGCATGTGTGTGAAGAAGTAGGAAATAAAAAGAAACTCACCTTGTGGCATGACCGGCAAGAGAGAAAGCCTTTGATCTCCATACTGTTTCAGAAATAAACCATGATATGGCGTTTCATCATGGCAGTATTTATTTAGACACTAGCTGCTGGGTCCCGCATGAGCTCAGCCCCCTCCTTTTTTATTTTTTATCAAATTTTTTTTTTTTAAAGCTTTATACCCCAAATCAGCACTTTTGAAACAGGAAGTGAAATAGAGGGATATGAGGCATGGCTAGAATGGGTGATCTGTTTGGTATTTTGAGCATATGAATATATGAACACTTCATATACATGTTTTTTATATATTTCTATATATCTGAGACCTATGCTATTGCCTAAAAATAGCATGATAGGTCCACTTTAAGGCCCAATGCTAACCTCCCATGATCCCATCCTGCACTTTGCTTTTTATTGCTCTTTTTTCTACTTCCTATGCATCCTTTCACATAAGTCGGGTGGTGTAGTGATCTTAGTTATGCATTTATGGCAGGAGAAGAAAGTAACTTTGCCAAGTTCCAAGCCCTCCCAAACAGGCATCTCCACCAGTGCTAGCTCGTTTGTGCTCTACGGTGTTGTATGATGTAACATGTTTCATCTAAAAATACCCTGAACACTGAAACTTCATGCCAGAGACATATAGACCTGAAACATCCGTCTCAACACACACATACCAGCCCTACTCATTGGCATAGTGACAAAACTGTTAATATTACGGTATTGTTTATTCATTAAGGGTATGGGTGTACCAGACCATTGCTTAAACTGGAAAAGTGATAACAATATATCTCAGATGAACTTTCTCATTGCCCTGATGCAAAATAATAATGTTCGCATTGCAACACTGCAAGGTATTAAACTACGCTGCAGCTCAGTATATGGAAATGTCAATAGTGAATAATGTGCACAAATTGCCCTTATTCAGATGACATCACAGTTACTGCCTTTGATCTTGATGAGCTCCATTTATCCAAGTTTCTTAACTATATCAGCATGTTTTATTTTTTAGGAGTTAATACTGTAAGGAAATGGAAAGAATGTAAGGCTTTTTGCAAAGATATTTAGAAGCAAAGTATATTTCTAACCTTTAACGTCACTCTAGGCGATATTCATGGGACCATCAGCTGACTTCAACAGACAAAGAAAACCTTTGCGGTTAAAAATGATTTGTGTTGTCATTATAATTAAATAATAATGAAAAAAATATATAAGAGTCCCTGAAATTCTAGGTACAGTTTAAAAAAAAGA